TTTTTTTTTTGAGAGTTTGTTTGTTTTTGCACTTTTCCCGAAAAGGCTAAGCGCTTTAGTTGGCGCTGTAACCCGAGCCAAGACAAAAGACTGCACGTTTTGTATCACAAGAAATCACTTTCTGTGCTTATTTTAACCTTGCAAATGAGTGATCTACTTACCAATTGTTGCCATAGTTTCGAGTTCTGGTTCAGGGACTCTCAAAGTTCTGAGGTCCGCAGTTGGAGGTAAGAAACCTCAAATAAAACATTATTTAAAAAAACCAAGACAAAGACTACGTTTTGAATCACAAGAAATCACTTTCTGCACTTATTTCAACCCCTCAATGATCTACTTACCAGTTGTTGCCATAGTTTGGAATTCTGGTTCAATGACTCTCAAACTTCTGAGGTCCGCGGTTGGGGATGAGAAACCTCAGATAAAATATTATTATTTTTTTTAACTTCTCTATAACAGAATAGTTGTCTGTTACAGAGAAGTATAAAATTAGGATGCTTAGGATAATTTGTCTAAAAGAAAGCAATTGCATTTTTTTGCTTCCTTCTTCTGCTGGCTTTGTTTTTGGAAACGTAAATGTGACTTACGGAGGTCAGCTAAACGCATCTGTCCTATTCGTTTCCTCTCTGCAAATTTTACACTAAATCTTGATGTTTTCAAACTAAAAAAAGTCTCTCCAAAAACTAGTCTCAACCAAACCTTCAAGGCGAGCATCAACAAGGAGGAGAAGAGCAAATCCAACCAGGATTGTGAGCATCGCCATTGTCGTATGGCAGCAAACAAAGGCAAATGCTGAATTATGTTTTGATATAAAATAGCCGGTTATATATACAAATGGGCCAGGACATATCTTATGGTTATGTCATGTTTACGGCTTTCGGGCATTTCACCATCAGGCGGAATTTTTGCAATAAGTTGATTCCCACGCATCTATAACCGTATTCTTACACCAAAAATTTGAAGATCAAATAATATTGGACATAAAAAGAGAGCGATTTCAGATTTATGACGCACGATTCTCAGCCTGAAAGCATAACGCAAAGCTTAAATGCACAGTAATACATATGACATATGATATGTGATCCGTAATATCAAATTTTGCAGGATTCAATTTGTTAGATTTGCCCTTTCTTTGCCTTGAATTTCTCTAAAGTAGTATGAAGTAATGAGATTATTTTAGAGCTAATTTGTCCGGCTTTTCGAGGCTTCTATTGGTACATTACATTACCGTAATATTATCAAGATGGTTAATAGTGCTTTATCCGCCTGAGCTGGCCGTGACCACATGACACATCGTATTTTGTAGGAAAAGATTGTAATAGGAACAACCCGCTATTTTGCAAATTAAAGTAAAAAGTATTTAAAGCTCAGTGGGGAGAAGAAAGGATGGCTGTTACAATAGAATAGCTCACAATAGCTCCATTCACCTTTGTATCACCTAAGCCTGCATGCATCATACATACAAGCAATCACTTTTGAGT